CTGTTGCTCCCCTCCAGCACTGTCTACAAGTTCGTTTGCATCTTTCAGCTGACTCCGTAGGAAAAGCAGTGTGTGAGCGTTTCATGTAGACTGGAAAGGCATTGCAAGCCCTCACCGCAGATACGGGCGCATCTGATTTCTTCACTGACTCAAGATGCAACTGCTATAAACTGAATTCAGGATTTTAAAGCTATACCGTGCTTGTTCTGCTGCTCACATCCTCACCCCTAAGAGTATTTGCAATGAGTAACCTCACCCACAGCTTTGGAGGCTCCTCACTACAGAAGTAGAAAGCATTTGCAAAACCAACAGCAGAAAAACTTTGGTGGTAAAGCAAGCAGGTGTGACCCAGATGTGTCCAGAGCAGATGCACTGAGTAAAGAGGTTTCCATGTGGCTATTCCTTGGCAATAATTGCAGTTTGAAGCAAAGGAAAAAATTCTCATGAGCAGCTCACACTAAAGATCTCATCTATGAACCTGGAAAACCAACTCTTCTATGTTTTTGACAGAGTAAGGCAAATGCCAGTCAATGTTTCAAGCTCTGCTAGTTGAAATGTGCTAAAAGTTCTGCTAAGAAATGTACTTTAAAGGCCTCTAGGGGATTGTTGTCTGGGTGCAGTGAGATACCTAGCTGGTAGAGCGACTAGGAGTTTAGCACAGAAGCATGCAATTCTATTTTAATCGGCTGGGTAGTTGACTCTTCCCCTTGCTTTGCAGAACAGAGTTAGCGGTTCCCAGTATTATCATTTAGACCGTTCTTATTTTCACTTAAGGTGAAGCGATCACGATGTTTTGAAATGGGCAGACTGAAAACAAAAAAAGCAAAACTTTCTACATGCAGTGATTATGCAAACACCATCTGGCCCTTAGGGCCAGCCTTTTAGTCACTGCCGGTGGCAAACGCAATCGGCAGGAGCCAAGTGTTGGGGATGCTCTGGTTTTGATAATGTGGCTTCAAAAAGGCTTTCTGACTATACAAAGTGTAAAACAATGCTCTGACAGCCGAAAATATACTGTGATTTATATGCTTTCTTTGGAAGCTGGTTTAGGTGTGCTATAGCCAACCCTGTATCACCCTCTTAAGTCACACTAAAGAGGCTGAAATGCTTTTGGCTCCCGCTCCTAAAGAGGTTTCTTCATGGCTCTGTGCTACACCAAGGCTCACCAACGAGCTAGTCAGCATTTTTCTTGTTTGCTCAGCATCAGCTGAATGCTGCTTCCCAATTCTGTGAGGCTTGCCTAGAGAACAGTCATACAAAGAGGATCGCTTATCTTCCTGCACTTGAACAGAAGGTATTTAATTTTTAAGTAAATATTTTTACCGTAACCTCAGGCTTCCCCTCCCCCACCCCCCCCCACCACCACATCAGCCCACACACCCCCCT